CGGGTTTTGGTGTAGGGTTTCGGGTTCTGCGGTAAGGTTTCGGTGTCGGTGCGCAAAATCTTCAAGATGATTCTTCTTTGGCAGTTCCTAAACCCTGCACCCAGACATTATAATTCCTAAACTGCCGAAAGCCGATTCGTAGGGAATGCAGCGCATCGGTGACCCGGGCTGATGCAAGAGGAAGGGGATCCCCGAAATTCCCCCAAAGCCCCTAGTGTAGGCGTCGGAAGATTGCGCAATCGTGTCTAAGTCTCATGGGCCCCTTAATTGTAATCCTCCATACTACAACAATGCCACAATCCACCGCAAAGCCCAGACAGACATTCTAGCCTCTAAGCCCGTAAACCCTAAACCCATATAAAAAGCCAGTAATGGAACCCCAAAGTAACGCGTGAAGGAGCCCTTAAGGAACCCTTCGAGGACCCTTAAAGGAACCCTTGGAGGAATCCCAAAACAAGCCCCAATTTATGGCATCGGAAATCAAATTCCTCAACAAGAACCCCACAGAGTCGTTTATACGACGATGTCGAAGCTAAGCGGCAGCTCGCCTCTCTTCAGAAGTTCAGCGGGTGCCATAGGGCTTTAGGGCTTATAGCAGTTTAGGGGTTGAAGGATTCTTGGGTCTAGGGTTTAAAAGGATTCCTGGAGGAGAAGGCTTGGCTGAGGTATGGGGGACATCCTCCTTTATGAGGCCCTGCGTGGCGGATTTCTGGAAGTCCTTGCACCCTCTCAGGTTCTGCAATGCCTCTGTGAGTGCACGGACTTTGACAAGCTTGTTGATGACTACCTGCATCTCGTCCCGTGTAAGTTGTCAGGGGCTTACCTGGAGTTGCGCAAAGCAAGGGTCCCTGTTCCTTATATATATATATATACACATATATATATATGTACATATATATATATATACACATACATATTCTTTACACACACAGACACACACGCACATATATATATATATATATTGTACATATATAGATATATAGATATAAGAAATAACTCAACGAGGGTCGAATTCGATGGACACATACATACATACAGACAGACATGCATACATACACATACACATGTACACCCCAGCCTCAAAGCTGGACACCCTAGACCCTACGCCCCTTAGCCCAAATCCCGCTCATATACGTAGGTCCGAAACAGCAGGATCCTGATTGCAAATCGTCCAAGGAAAGCCGGTCTCAAACTGTAGCAGAAGACCTTGAAGCAATCGAGCGCACGTGCGGTGTTCAATCTGGGGCTACACTGTTGCCCACTCAGGAGCTTTCTTGTCCACCTCATCTGATTTGATATAGGGGCTTTAACAACAAAAGCTCTGAGGATATACTAAGCATGCTATAACCATATTGGGACTAGAAGGGGGTAAACCAAGCATTCCGACTCCAATCTCATCATCTCTCTCGCCTTCAACGAAGAGTTCAGGGCTTGAGGTGTAAGACGCGATTCATCTAACTGTTTTCGTGAGCTATGCAGCACGCTTCGAACGAAGCCCTGTACATACATAGATTTGTGTGTGTGTATATATATATATATGAATGACACATGTATGTATGTATGTATGTATGTATGTATGTATGCATGCATGTATGTATGTTTGTGTGTATGTATATATATATATATATATGTGTGTGTGTGTATGTATGTACGCATGTATGCATGTATGCATGTATGAATGAACCAAGCAATCAAGCCATGTGTGTGTGTACATATATATATATGCGTGTGTGTTGGTTTGATAACTATGTTAGTTGTTTTCATTTGCATACTCATAGTTAGGTGCCTAATGCCGAAGTGGCGCTGTATTCATTCAGTTGGATGATGAGGTCAAACAGAGCACGACACTGGAGACGGATCAACAAACACCCTCTTTCTTTCTGGGCCATGATATGAGAATCCCTCCTTTAAACCCCGGAGCCCTGAACCGCAAAGCCTGACCCCTTTTCCGTAGAGAAAGGACTGTTGCGAATGAATCAGGGATCTACATTATAGGTGCTGCAAACTTCAGGAGGCTTCTGCTCGCCAGATCCGGGGCAAGTCAACATCTCCCGGGGTCTACTTTGACTCTGTACGTAGAATCCTAAAAGACTTCATGTTCAGGTTCCCTTGCTGTGACTTGTTTAGGTTTTCCTTGGATAGCGGTTGAGTTTCGGATGTTGACTTGAAGTCCATGGACCTTGGATGCCGAGCACGGGTTGGGGGGAATTTGAGAAGCTCCAAGCCCACCAAAACCTGTACCTGGACATATCGGAGCTACAGCCATCTGCAACTTTAGCAAGTAGGAATTTAGTAGACTTCAGTAGACGGCTCCTAGAGTAGTGAGCAGTCCTTAAGAGCTGAAAGCGTGTCAGGAACTCGCTTTGTCGTGGGCCCAAGTCGTCGGTTCCTCCCCGAGAACGCCTGCGGCGAGTGCCTAGACGAAAGCATCTCGGAGTTGGGGTTCAGAAGCCTAAGGAGTTGTGTGTGCGTGTGTGTTCACGCACACTTACTTGTTCGGCATATGTACATCTACATCGACATGAACGTCCCTGTTCATCTATGTATACATAGTGTTTGTGCCTTCATGTACATACCAATTTGCGAACCTTTAAAGTAGGAATGCACGGACTGACATCGCAGTACCTGTGTACTCTTGTGTTGTGGCTGCTGACCTTCACGCATGCATACGCATATATAGTACGTACGTAAGTACGTACGTACGTACATAGATAAATTTAAATACATGGAGACATCCATACAACCGTACATGCATACATGCGTGTATACATCCATGCTCACACTCTCTTGTCCACGTGGTTGCCAGTTACTGGTTGGCTGAGAGCAGTCGTGGCTCAGTGTGTCGCCATCGAGTTGATAGGTGTTTTTTCCGGCTTGGGGCTCAGGGTTGTCGTAATAACAGAGGCTGTGCGCCAGCAAAGGCGCAGTTGTAGCCGAGGGTTAAGTTCGGATAGGCTGACAGCGAGAAGGGACTGGATCGCCCACGGCTTAGTCGATGTTGAATTAGCAAAGAGCCTCCTCCCTCCCAAAGCCGTTACACTGCAGCTTAGGTGTTTTTCACAGCCTCAGATCGATGTCGCATCCCATGGTTTGGGGGTGCCCGGCGCCTCAATGCCGGTGCCTTGGCTGCGCCGGTGATGCTGCTCCTGCTGCGGACGGTTCTCCGGCTGTCCACCTACGCGGCCCCGCTGCACATTGAAAGCCACATCATACTCTCGAACCCCTTGAGCTTATGGGTGGTTGCTTCTCGTTTTCTGTACAGTACATTTGTAAACTTAAACAATCTGACTGTATGTAAATACATATATGTACATATACACACAGTTAGATATAGAGATCGAGAGAAAGAGCGAGAGAGAGGGAGAGAGAGAGAGACAGAGTTAGGCGACCACGAAATCCACGATACGGTGGAAGCAATCCTCGACTCTTTCAGTGGGAAGCAATGCTCCTGACTAGCCAGTCTTTGAAATCAGGGGAAGGGTGTAAATTCGATTTCTGAGATAGGGTACCTCCCCGGTCAAACCCAGTGGCGGGCATGCATGTTTTTTGCCTTTGCCCCTGTTTCTGCATGAGACAATGACTATCCGTACCTCCAGTGGACAGCAGAAATCAGGTGTGGTTTTTTATTTGAGCGACTTCTTTGGATGTCCTGTTGTTAATCAGCAGTCCGGATCCGAAAAGTTGTGGAGGGGCCACTAAGCCGCCAGACGGGGGACGGAACACGTCACAGCCGTAGTCGACGAGATGAGGCCTGGAGGTTCCTCGTCTTCGAAGCAATAAGGGGGGGGGATGTGCCGGATCACGACGGGGCCTCATCGAGTAGCAAGAGACTCAGACCCAAGAACCAGGGCGGCCACGCGTGCGCGGGGTGCGGGTGTCCCTGCTCCTTTGGCTGACCGGAAAGACAGAGAGACAGAGACAGGGACAGATACGGACAGACAGGCAAAGAGAGACAGAGACAGAGCGAGAAGAGAGAGAGAGTGAGAGAGAGAGAGAGTCAGAGAGAGCAAAAAAGTTGAGACAAACAGAGAAAAGAGGCGGTTGCTTAGCGGATGCAGGAGTCATTGGGCATCGAGCACCCGGATCTGAAAAAAATGGAGCTTTAATAGGTCTTAGGGCCTGGTTTAAGGCAGCTGTTGCGGGTTTACAAGCAGGGTTTAGGCTTTCGGGTATTAGGGTTTTAGGGTGTGTGGATTTTCCGGTTTAGCCTCAGGCCTGGCTTTCTCTGCCAGCGGATTTGCTGCACTAACCTTGGGGCTTGACATATTCGGCGCAAGTACTCCCAAACCTCAATGCAACAGCTTTGCTGCACCCGAGGTTTAGGCTTTCTTGTGGGTTTGGGGTGGATGGAGTTTAGGCACCCACCTCTTTAAAGCCTTGCCAGGCTCCATGGCTGCTCTTTTGGCTGGCAGTGGGTGCCAGTCACCTAGCATGGTTTCACGTGGCCTGCCTGCCACTGGGCCCGGATTCCTGAACGGCAGGTGACATGATTTGAACCCAACACCCAGGGCATCACTGGACAGTCTTTGGGGGTCAGCAGTAATAATGATTTTAATTATTAATAATAATAGTAGTAATAACAATAATAATAATAATGGTAATAATAGTAATGCGCTGAGGTCCCTCCCCTTGAGATCCGACTACTTTGTGAGCTGGGTGGCTTGCTCCATCGCGGGGCTCTACTCCGAGTACTGGTCGGAGGTCTTGCCCAGGCCCTTTTTGGGGCTCAGGGAGGCCGAGGGCTGAGTGGTGAGGGCTTAGGCCTCGGGCTTCGGGTTTAGATTTGGCAGTTGAAGCTTGAAGGAAGAGCCAAAGGCATCGCTCACAAGCATTTTCGGCAGGGATATTTCCGACTGCTCGACCTACAGACAGACGTGCTAACTTTCCGAGCTTCTGGAGAGTCCGCACGCTGTCGATCGAAACCGGAAGGCCCGAAACCTCAACCCCAAACCATCCGAATATGGAAGCTTGCGTAGAGAATTGCAAACATCGTTCCGTAGGCTTCCTTATGATACTGAAAAGGAGCCGAAAACCCTATTCTAATTAAGGCCCCTACACTACACTCCTCACCACACCCTGAGTAAAACCGAAGCCCGTGTTAAACCGTGGTCCAAGAATCTCCCCTAACAGGCAGAGTTCGTCATCCGTGCTACTTTGCCATGGACTGCTCCTGGTCGTGGTGATTTCTTTCGCTTCGGCCGTGTACACGTCGGCTCCGGTGCAGGAGGACCTTCTCCGGGTATAACCTCATGAAGTTTGACAGGAACCTGATTACAGACCCCGTTTAGAGGAACCCTACTTTAGATCCCTTTATATGGAGCCCTTTTTTGGACCCCTTTCAACTTACGGCTGGGTTTAGGGGCTGGAGAGGTTAGGGTGTACCACGGACCAAAGCTCTTTGCTTCTGCTGGCACTGATGGAGTTCACGGATTTAAGACGCCCTCTGCTAGGCTTCGGCGATCGAATCGAGATCCAGGTCTAAAATCCGAAGCCCTAAACCCTACTTACCGAAAGCCCGAAACCCTACTTATCGTTACCCTGAACCCTAACCCTAGACCCCTTTTCAGACGATGGGTTCGATCCTTCGAAGCCTCGAAGGGAAGTCGATCGGGTCGCCGGCGTTCGCTCGTTGCCCTATCCCAACAAAAAGAAACCATGTTGCGACTTCGGATTTTCATCAAAGTGTGGTCTCCGAAACCAACCGACGCCTTTCTTATCCTTTCACCTTTCAGTCAACCTACTGCTCATGACCAGGATGCAGAGCAGGGGCAACTGCAGTCAGAGGAAGACTCCAGATGGTATCTGTGCAAGGTCTGTGGCCATGCCGTCTATGGTAGAGATCACCATTGTGTGAGACGCTCAGTGAAGGTTGCATCATTGAATCATAAGTCCCGTCCCCGGTCGTTGAGACTTCTCTCTAGAGTCAAAGCCTCGGCATGAGGTTTGGATAAACCAATGCGTGGGTGCACACAACCATCGCTCTTTCGTGCTCTTCGTTGCCAGCTTGACGCTCTTGGCTTGGGCTTATGCATCAATGGTTTTGACTCTCTCAGCATCACTGGAACAAGAGACGCCCTTCAACTACCTGATGGTGCATCTTACCGACTGGCGTCTGAAGCATTCTATGGCAGGCAGCCTCGAGATACGTTAACTTAGGTGATTTAATTATGAAGTCAAGCTTTGAGCCCTACTGAACCGCTAAACCTGAAGTGCAGGCGCTTTGTATGCATTCGGCGGCGGACTTTTTACGGCTATCCTGCTGCTGGGGCAGCTGTTGACAATCAGCAGCCGAGACTGCAACCATGACCGAGATAGTTGCCAAAGTTAAACCACACGTGAGCATTAGGTTGTAGCATGCCGCAAAAAGTATGTTGATGTGTCGACTTGCATATGCATGTACGCGCAAGTGTAAGTGCAGAAACGACTACACAGATAAAGTAGCTTAACAAAACATGAACTTACACACACACACATATCTCTATATGTACAATTGTACATATCTATGTGTGTATATATATATATATCTGTCATATGCATGCATGCATGCATACATATACATACACACATGTAAACAGACATATATGTACGTATGTAGTCATTCATGTAAGTAAGTATGTATGTATGTACATATGCATGCAGGCTGGTCAGCAGGTGGGTAGGTAGAGGTAGCTAGGGAGCTAGGTAGGTCGGTAGGCCGGTAGCTGTCAACCCCGCCTCTTCCCCATACGCTAAAACGGCTTAAACTCATAATCCTTCCTCCCACTCCCTGTCCCTGTCCCTCTCCCTCTCCATCTACCTCTCTCTTTTTTGTCGCTCGCGCGCGCTCTCTCTCTCTCTCTCTCTCTCTCTCTCTCTACATATATATATACACACATATACATACATACATACATACATACATACATACATACATACATACATACATACATACATGCACACATACATATGTATGTATGTATGTATGTATGTATGTATGTATGTATGTATGTAAATATAACACATCTATCTATATATCTATCTATCTATCTACCTATCTATCTATATTGTCTATCTGTTTATACCTGCTTATCTATCTATCTATCGATCGATCCATCTATCTAGCTATCTATCCATCCATCCATCCATCTATCTGTCTATACGCATACGCATAATTACTTTCTTTCTAGTTTACTTACTTGCTTACTTACTTCCTTGCTTACTTACTTACCCACGTACATATTTACGTACCTGCATACTTACATACCTGCATTCATAAATACATGCAAGCCTACCTACATCATATGCGTTTATACATGCGAGGAGTGCGTGAGGGGATGTAGATGAGCAGGATACGAAGTCAAACAGAGCAGCTGGTCAGGCAAAGGCCTTACCGGGCACGAGCTGCGCCGACGAGAGCGGCGACCGCAGCGGAAGTCGAGCTGCCTGCAAAATTGGCGGAGCTGGCTGTCCGGAGGAATACAAAAAGATGGAGTGTGCCCCCCAAGCAGGAAACCGATTGCTTACTCTCACATGCCTGGAACAGCATCATGACAGCAAGGCATTCGATCCGCGTTCGTGCGAGGCCTTCGTGATTGAAAGACTTCCTGATTAAGTTCTGAATCGCAAAGAACTGATGAAAACCATATCACAAACTGTTATACATTATGATACTGTAGCATATGTTACTCATTGTTATAGAAGTATATATATGACTATACACATAATTGTAGAATGCGATGCATCTACGCGACGACATGTCCCTCGAACCGCGAGGGTGTCTTGACCCGCGTGGAGCTTTGAGCAGCAGCGACCTCAACCTTTCCTCCTCTGACGTACCGCTGTTGGCTGTAAACTGGAGTTGGGATGCAACACTGCAATCTGGATCCGGATTTCCCTTGCCCCGCTTCCAGATTTGTCGTAGCAGATGCATTTGAGCGCGGAGTCTCTTCTGCGATGGCCTCGAGCTACGGGATGCGAATTCGAGCCACTCCGGAAGCAGGTTCCGCAGTGGAGCTGTCAGCCCTCACATGTTTTTTTTTTCTACCGTGAGCCCACACACACACGACACACTTTTTTTGCAGGCAGTGCCCGTGCCGCAGCTCGACGTCAGTGCACATGTGCGGGTTGTTTGATCCTGCCACCGCTCACTGCCGACGAAGCCCAAACAGCCGATGACCTGCGGCCGCTTCAATCTGTCCACGCTTCATACAGCCCTCCATCCTGCCAAACCCACGGTCAGCTTTTGCTTGACCATGCTTGCCGATGCCCCCAGCGTTGCCGTGTTGTGGAGCTCGGCAATGACCGTGACTGATGAGCCGCCTTCGACTTGCGGCCAAACAAGGACAGCTGCTACCTACGCACGACTCTAAACCTCGTAGGCTGACGCAACAACACACCGTAAGGGGTGATCATTCGGCCATATTCGGCCAAAGTGCTCCAAGCAACGGATTGGCGCGCTGGACTGAGGCACCCCTCCGATGTTCCTGCACATCGGATATGCCGGCAAACAGCGCCGCTCTGATGAAGCCAGTCATGCCTCGAGTCCTCGAGTGCCAAAACGCGTAGGTGGAACGACCGTTCGCGTCCGAATACCGATACACCGTAGACGCCTCCTGCGGGAGCTGGCGTGGTGGTGGCTGACGCGCATCGCCATCATTTGCTCTTCTTCTGGTTGGAGGAAGATTATACTGCGCCCGCAACGACAAGCCTTTGTCGATGAAGAACTGCTGCACATAGTAGCACTGCAGTGACGGCCTAGCAGCAGCGTAGCCTTCATAATATTTTTGGCTGTAGAACACATGTCTTGACCGCCACCACATGATTCGAAGCTGTTACGAGTATAGCCATACCTTTGGCATGCAAGCCGGTGACAACACACTCAACATGTGTCGACACTTGATATCGGTCGTAGAACAGTGATGTCGCCGTTTTTGTCAACAACAATCGGGAGAAAACATCCCGAGCCAAGGATCCGGTTTTCAACGAGCGCATCGTTTTATAGAAGACGCCCCGTGTCAGGGCTTACAAGTTCTTCACATCTGCAAGTTGCAATGTGGAACAATCCCGCATCCGCTTAAACAATTCACGCGTACTGTAAGTATTCGGTTAGAACTGGCATCAAGGACAAAGGTTTGGCATTTGTTGAAACGTTTGAAGCCCACAACTCGGCGAATCAGCACCGATCACCACTGCCACCTTGCATCGCGCCCCAGCAGGTGCACTCATGAAACCTGCATTTGTGTTCGCAGGTGGCGCGACATTTTACGAACAATGGCCTGCAAATTACATGGTCAACATGCCAAGCGGTGTTCGCGAACAGGTTACATGGTTTCACCCTGCAAAGCAGCTAGTGCGTTTGCGCCAAATTGGCGCAATCATACGCGACCACAACGATTACAAGCGCTGTCGCTACTAATTCTCCTCGTCACACTGCCCCTCCCCGCTCCTCCCCACTGTATACAGCTGCTCTCGCACTAATTGTACAACACGAGTCGTATTATCTCATGGACTACCATTGCCAATAGTGTGCTATCTGACACGTGTGTGAGTCCTACCACTCTTCTGCCTCTTGTGGCGTGTGCTTCTCCGATTCTGACCACCCGGACTGCCCCTATCACCGCCATTTTTTGTTACAGAGTATCACCAAAAGTGCGTCCTCGTATAGTCCGGGTACTACAGCGCTGTCCCGAGAGCGATCGTCGTCTTCACAGTCGTGGTGCTATTAACGTCGCTTAAGAGCTCTCGAACACCGTTGCGTCCTGGGAGAAGGGCCCCTGGGATGTGTGCCTTAGGGTCGGATGATTCCGTGTTGTGGGGTGAGCAACACTTTTGCGTGTGGTCGTCGTGATCGTAGTCGTAGTCGTTGTAATACAAGAGTAAGAGCAAGGGTACGGGCAGGTGTATGCAGAGTAAGAGTAGTGGTAGTGGCAGTAGTAGCAGCAGCAGTAGAAGAAGAAGAAGAAGTGGTAATAGTAGTGGTTGTAGCAGCTGTAGCGGTGGTGGTAGTGGTAGTGGTAGTGGTAGTAGTAACAGCAGCAGCAGTCGTAGTAGAAGTAGCAGTAGTAGCAGCAGAAGCAGCAGCAGCAGGAGTAGTAGTAGTAGTAGCAGCAGTAGTAGTAGTAGTCGTCGTCGTCGTAGTAGTATAGTA